AGCAAATTTTACAAAAGAAAAACTACTCCCTCTTCTCTCTGAAGAACCTCTCCCCAAAACTCTTCCTCTCTGTGCATTTGTTGTACAATCAAAAGTCTATATCTATATCAGGGAATATATTTCGTATGGGCAAAAAACATATCGAAGATCATCTCCAAGTACATCCAAAACCCAATAATAACATATCGTCTTTCATAAAAATAAAGGATCAATTGATTCAACTCACAAACAAAAAGCTTGAAGTCCCAATTAGTCTGATTCTTTTTTCTTCTAATTATTAGTGTCCCCCAAGTGATATTACTTGGTTCTTATTCTCCCCCCCTCTAATACTTTTGTTCAGGCTGATTTTTCTGAAAATGGTCCATACCTGTGCATCCTTATGTCAAAAAACATTTAATGTTTATCACTAGAAACTAACATAAATTTAAAGGTAAAATACAAACCCAAATACAGTCTCATGCACTGGCCAAAAGAATATAGTCTTTTTTGTCACTTTGACTCTTTTAAGTTATATGAATGATAAATACAAAGAATTCAATTTCAGCTGTTCTTGGACCTCAGAACCCAAAAAGAAATTGCCTACTCACACTTGATGGATCCATAAATGTGATGAACAAAGAGAGAAGCTGCAAAAAATCCAATAGTTCCAAGCATCAAAAAGAAACCGTAGCATATACAGGCCGTGTATCCAAAGAAGAATGAGATCTGCAAGAACCCAGACATATCAGAGCGAGCATAGTAGTAGTAGAAGCAGTAGGCATAGATATATAATCCTGCTGATCCACCATACTGAAATGGTCTGCATTAAAAGGAAATACACAGGTTAAACCCAGTGAACACATAATAAAAAATTTGCTATTTAACAATCAAGGCTAAAGTATATCAGTGAAATGACTAAACCATGCAGACCTCAAATATACAGAAGATTCCCAAGAATCAAAGCAACGATGCGGAAGGTCAAAAGAAGATGATAATGGAGATTAGAATGCATCAATAAATCAACAAAGCAGGCATTCTTGGGACACTTTTCTCCAAGGTGTGGTGGCAGTCTAGGGTAATACTTCATCAGGGTTAACATCTATTTTGCTGTGGAAGTTTTCACGTGGAAGCTATGTGTATCCAAAAGTTTTTTTTTTTTGGTGGGTTTAATGTCACTCCCGAAGCATTAAAACAAGAGTAACCAATGAGCAATATTCATTTAGCGATTGATTCAAAAGCTAAAGTTAGCATGAGAAATTAATGACACAGTAACTTCATACCTCCACCACCACTCATAATCCTCAGCAACAAGCTGGAAGTATGTCAAAGCCATAGTAGTTATAGAAGTAACAATCAAGAGAATGATGAAGACAATGAACAAGGTACTGTAGGTAGCGTAAATCCTGAAACCCCAAAGACAGGCAAATATGTAGTAAAGTTCGGTGCATATAACGCAAGACGGCAAAAACCCTGCCATTGCAATGTGAGAAATTGCTCTGCGGTGCCATGGCAATGGGGGGATTTCTCTTGGGTATTTACTTGTGTAGCGAGGTGCTTGGAATTCTGCTTTGTTCTTCTTCCCAACAATCCCGCCCAACACAAGTAGGGGCAATGCTAAAAGAGTCCATATGAGAACTATCACCATAACTTTGCCAAATGGAATGGCAAAAGTGGTGTTGTAAGCAATTGCAACAGTATTCAGAAAGAAACATGTGAGAAATAGGGGTCCCCAAGAGAGGCATCCAGTCAACAGTAAATTCCTAACCTGCAATAAGCAAGTACAAGTATGCAATAATCAATGATTGGAGATGACAATTAGAATCTCAAGGGGTACTGAATCCCATGAAAGAAAAGGCTCATAAGTGCATACCCAGTTTGTTCCTTCTAGCTGACAATAAAATGAGGTTGCAGTATAGCCAGCAAATCCTGAAGTTAGTGCATATATGACAACAATTGCTTTAGACAGAGCCCCTCGATTGCATGGATAGAATACACCAAAAAACGCCAAAATGAATATGAACACTATGCTGCAAATCATGCACAAATATTACTTATAAGACAGAACAATCAAGATTACACATAAGGGGGCGGTGGTTTAGAACTCAGAGGAAACTTACAGGGTAAGCAGCTGGGTACCAGCTCCAAGGGCAGCCGCAAGTAAAGACCCATACTCGGGAAACCTAAATACATCTCCATGGAGATCCTTCCAACCAGTCTCTTCTTCATCCTTGGCAGATTCCTCATCATGGACATACCTATGTTGGAGACAAACAAGTGTAACATCATACATTTTAGCACAAAATTGAAGTGTCCTAGTCCTGTCAAAGTCGACAGGTTGAACCTAAAACAGATAATGCAGAAACTAGAAAAGATTCTTACTTGAAATCATTCTGAAGGACCCGCTTTAAAATAGTTGCGAGAATCCCAGTTAGAAGGAGAATTGGCACACATGAACTTAAGATTGAGAACAAATGGGGCCATGAGGATGATGCATAGTACTTCTCCATCCGCTTTTCAAAAGGAGTGTCAGTATCTATCCATTCTGCAGAATACAGAAATTCCACCTCTCTTTCAGTATCATCTGCAAGGTCCACAAACGCATCAGGCACTGGCCGTGTATTGATTTCAATAACACGATCCTTGTTGCAGAAGATGGTAAAGTGAATATGCTTGTACATGTAGTACTTCTTGTCACTTGGGTCTTCTCCTTCCTGATGAACTCGTCCTATGAAAGACCAGGCAGGTAAGTCATCATAATACATTTCAAAGAAGTAGTTCTTTTGAACCATAGATCGAAACTTGGCCACGTCTTCCTTCTGGAGTGTTTCCTTGCAAAGTACTTCAGAATTTTTATTCCTTCGGAATTCAAGTTGGTAAGGAGCACTGACTAATCGATCTCCTATTAAGAATTCACCAAACGCTTCTTTTTTTTCTTTGGCATGATCTGCAGTCCATATAAAAACAAAGAAAGTGATTGTACTAACGAAGATGGATAATGAATAAGAAGGGCGAATCATGAAGGACTGAAACCAACCTGGCATACAGAAAAGGAGATCATGAGAACGATATGTTTCACTGAAAAGAACAAGGTTTTTATTAAAGCTACAGGAAACTCAAACAGTAACTGTTCAACATTACTATAAATATCTTCTGTGATTTCTGCCTCAGCAAAAAGACAATGAAGCATGAAGAACTCACTACTCGAACCAAATTGAAAATTTGAGATAAGAAAGAATCAAGTGGAGTTAATTACTTACCTGGGATTGTTAAATGGCCCAACTTTTGAAACATAAAAGGGGACTATATCTCCTTCTTTGTAACTATGATCTGACGCATTTGGTCTCACATGGCTGATGCCAGAAAGAACAACGAAGGAGAAGAATAGTGTGGCCATCACCTTCGCCATTCTCGACCACCTGTCGCTTTGCCACTCCCAGAAGAAGCACCAGAAAAGAGAAAGAAAGGAAGATATGGGAGAAATCTGAGCAGAGGCAAAAAAGATTAAAGGGGGTTCAATGGACGGAAGTGGGAGAAGAAGGTGGTTTTGAAATCGTGATTAAAGGAGGAAAATGTTACAGAATAGAGCAAGATTTATATCTTATTCAAAGAAACTATAATCAAACCCGGCTCGAGAGTCAACTTGAGTTCAACCTGAGCATGCTTGCGTTGACCATGAGCCTCAACGCAACTCGCTCTTGCCTTTTCTTTTCTCTTTTCCATTCTTTTTTTTTTTTTTTAAATTTTGCCCACAGTTATGTAGTTTGCCACTTTGTCTGGGTGGCGTCTGACGTGTCTATAGCTTTTCATATGAAAATGCAAATTAAATATAAATTTTTTGTGACAAAGTTAAATATAAATTGAGAGCCATCAGATTGTTTTCTTTATCCTTTTTACAAGATTTTGTTGTCTCAACATTAAATGAAATCTATACTATCCCTATGTAAAAATTTAAATTGGTTTGATACATTTTATAAGGTTTTATTTAGGGTTGTCCCACAACGTTAAAAAAAATTTAAAATTGTCTTAACATTAAATGTATTTTTATTAATTTTGTTCTTAATTAGTATTTTTTTTATTACATTCTTTTTCATTTTCTATTTTGTTATTAATATCTCTCTCATTAAAAAAATCCAAAATTTGACATATTCAATACTGTTAATTAATTTTAACTGTTTTTAGAAGACGGTTAATAATTTAGTTGTTGGAAGTTGGCTGTGAACATTTTCATGTTTGCTAAAAGTCAAATTAGATAAAAGTTAAATAGTGTAATGTGATTTATGTTTAGATTAATTTTTACAAAAAAAATTAGTTTGAGAAACTGAAACTTGTTTGGATGATCAATGAAAAAGTAAGTTTGGATATAAAATAACTAAAAGAGATATGGATTTTATTAAATAATAATGTGATAATTTTAAAAAAAATATTAAAATCACAAAGGTAAAGGTACACTTTTAGTCCTACTCTCATTTCTCATGTGCACCTAATATTATGATATTTTTAATGGCGCAATTTTACCCATGATCATTTTTTTTGTTTGCATAATTTTGCACATGAACTTTTTTTAATGCAATTTTATCCATGATATTTTTTTGGGTGCATTTAAGACATAAGATTACGGGTAAAATTGTACTTTTATAAAAAAATTGAGAAAAGTCCCTGTTAAAAATTTAATTGAAAAGAAAGACTTAAATCAAAGTACAAATATTATTACTCTGTATATATAAAGTTTACAGAGTACTAGTACTTTATATGTATAAAAATTTATTGATTTTTCTCACGAACTAAATTTTTAATAGGAGACTTTTTTTATCATTTTTTTCTAAAATTTATTATTTAATTTTTTTTCTCCTTTAAATATTTTTATAAACACTAAATTATTGAGTATTTTAGCTTTTGAGATAACATGGCTTTTGCATCGTATTCATAACATGAGCGCATTCGGTGTATCATGAATGCAAACATTAATCTAGGCCTCAACGTGCGGTACCGCTGTCAAAACGCTCTACCAAACACACCCTAAATCACGCCTTAGTTGCTGTTCCAATCAAGCCGCCTGCGTCTTCCTGCCCCCCAATCTCGAGTGTGCCCACGTCTCAGAAGCAGCAAGCGCACTCTGAAGCATTAGCCTCCACTGCCCGCGCCGCCGACTTCATCACTGAGGATCACCAGGTCGGTCTCTCTTATTCGTATCTTTGGCGTATTAACCGTGGAAGTTCATTAGGGGTGGGGTGTATTACTGAAGTCCTCATCTAAGTTTTTCAGGGCAAGTATGAATTTGAGCATTGAAATTATAAGGAGCAAATTTCATTCTTTTGGCTATTGCTTGGCTGAATAGGTTTTTAAGAGTTCATCGCTATATTTTAGTGTGATAGTTGCGGCTTATTTGATCTTTGGAAACAGACCATGACATAAACAGGTCGGTCTCTCTTTAACCTGCTAGGCTGGATACAAACGCATAACAGGCAGCCTATTTACTAATGGCCTGGCCCAGATGGACTGGTTTGAGATGGGCTGTTTTGACAACATTGCCATTTAACTTTGATGATTTTATGGAAATGTATTAGGGCTACAAATAGATCATTGAGTGCAGGGCATTTGCCTTTCAGCAAAACATAAATATCTGTAATACTAGTGGCGTCAGTCTCTTGTAATACCTTCCCTCATGTTCTTATAAAAGAAGGAACTTGTGGGTTTAATGAAGCACTTATCTCTGATCGGGTCATTATTAATTGGTGGGTGCAGCTTACTTGAATGATGGGGGAGCTGGTGACTGAGAAACATGTTCAGTATATTTTAGCTGCTGAAAAGGTATGCTTCCCATTTATGCATTACAACTGAAGAAAAGATGTAATCTTGAGTTACTGTCTGCTTTCAAAGCTGCTTTATGCTTAAGATTTCCATGTCTTTTGTGTTATTTATTTTTCTTCTATGGTTTTCCTTCCTGGGATCCCAGAGGAAAGATGACTTTGAGTCTGTGGTGATGGAGCATCTAAGAATGAATGGGGCATATTGGGGACTGACTACCCTTGATCTGCTCGGCAAGCTAGACACTGTGGATGTCAATGAGGTTGTTTCATGGGTCATGAGTTGTCAGCATGAATCAGGTTAATTAAAACTTAATTTGATTTCTTACTTTCTTGGGTCAGGGTTAAATTGTTTTAGTGACCCTTAGTACATTGTGAATTTTTTTATTTGATGACATGCTTGTGTTATTTAGGGGGATTTAGTGGTAACATTGGACATGACCCACACATTCTGTATACGTTAAGTGCTGTTCAGGTTTTGGCTCTCTTTAACAAGCTTGACATTATTGATGTGGATAAGGTGACAAAATGTATCCTCTAGCATATAAATTGTTTGACTTGGGAACTGCTTTGCATTCTCAAATCCTTTCTTGTGCAGAAGCTTTTGTTTCTTAAAGTATTTAATGGTCAATAGTTCAACTTTGATGCTTTTCTTTGCTTATGAGGATGCGCATCTTTAGTTGGAAATATATTTATTTCCAGTTCTCCGCTAAACTAGCCCCTTGTCATTATAAAAATTTATTTGAAAGTTTTAATTTGTGAACAAAAAGCTAGTCCCCATCAGTGAAATATTTCCTTGGCCAGAAAGTATGTTAGATCCTATGTTTCTTAACAATTATGTTAGATATTGTTAACCTGCAAAATGAAGATGGATCCTTTTCCGGGGATATTTGGGGTGAAGTTGATACACGGTAATTTACCTATCCACATTTTATGATACCTTGGAAGATTAAGCCTTTTTGTGCCTTTTGTCTTCCTGATTTAAGCTCATCAAATTCTTTCTCAGGTTCTCATATATTGCCATATCTTGTCTATCAATATTACATCGTTTGGATAAAATTAATGTGGAGAAGGCCGTGAGGTACATTTTAAGCTGCAAAAATATGGATGGTGGCTTTGGTTGCACACCGGGTGGGGAATCTCATGCTGGGCAAAGTATGTTAGATATCAGTAGCTGCTTTTATTTTAATATCCTGATTGTTGCTCAATTCTTTCCTCGGTGCTTCTCATAGGCTTTGTCATGGTCTGATTAATGATTGATTATTGTGGTATGCAAATAATAGATGTATTAGTGTTTGGTGGGGGCAAAGTCTTAAACACATGCTAAGGGAGGAAAAGAGTATGTGGAGGATACTAATATTTATTTGTTTTGTCTACAAATTTATTGAGGAACTAGTGCAAAACTGGGGAAAAGGAGAGACTCAGAATCTTGCACATATACAATGATTACAGCAGATAAATAATTACAGCTAGACGCATTGATACAATTTCTTTACAAAATGAATGTGATTGCAATTCAATGAGAAGTGAAAAATGACTCAGAATCTCGCACATAATCAGAATTTTGAAATAAAATCTGGCATGTTTCTAAGTTATGTTTGGTGTGAGACTATTTTGGGGCAAACAAATCATTTTCCAAATATGTGTGTACTGTAGAATTAGTTCAAAAATTAATTATTTCATGGAATTAGAGTAGAATATAAATGTTTTACTTCATTTTTACCTTCATTTTGATAAAATTACAAGGATCTCACATCCTTTTTCAGAACACCCCCTCCCTGAAAAACCAATAGTTCTGCGTCGCATTGTAGTTCAACATTAAATTGTTATTAAGAAATCCTTCCTTCACTTGATTAATCAGAAGTATGTTTTCTTTTTCTTTTTTCAAACCCTGATTATTTTTACGAGTTTAAGCAAATATCCTAAAATTCTATTATTTCCCAAAAAAGCTTTTTTCTTTCCTTTTAAGAAAACGATTTTTTTCATGAAAAAAGCTGAATGAACAGGCCCTTTAAATGGCTTGTAGATTTGAAGCTCAGTATGATCTCTGCCTTCTGTCAGTTTTCTGTTGTGTTGGAGCTCTTGCTATAACGGGTTCACTGGATCTTGTTGACAAGGACCTGCTTGGTTGGTGGTTATGTGAGCGACAAGTCAAATCTGGAGGTTTAAACGGCCGTCCTGAGAAACTACCTGATGTGAGTAAAGCTACGAAAGGCTGGATTTATTACTGTGCTTGCTCCTGTGGAATTTTTTATTCCTCTGACCTGCATTTGGATCATATCAGGTTTGCTACTCATGGTGGGTTCTTTCTAGCTTGATCATGATTGATCGGGTTCATTGGATTAACAAGGAGAAGCTGATAAAGTTTATCTTAAACTGCCAGGTTATTTTAGCTTAATTTCTTTATTGTGATATTAAATCAGTGTGTTACTGATTCTTCGCTGGAAGTATTAATTTTGGTTGTGCTAGATTTTCTTAAGTATTCTCTGTTGAATTTAAAGGACACGGAAAATGGAGGAATTTCAGACAGACCCGATGATGCTGTGGATATCTTCCATACATATTTTGGGGTGGCTGGTAATTTAGCTCCACCTTTCGTATCTACCTTTCCCTTGAGTTGTTTGGGCTAATATTCATTATTTTTCCTGCTGATATATTGTCCTCGGGCTTTCTGCCATGAGTGGTAGGAAAACTCGTCCCACTTGTCCGATGTAGTATGTTGAGATTTTTCCGTTATAACAAATGAGAGTGGCGGCCACTAACTTTGATTACCGGCTAACTCATTTAAGAGGGAAATGTCGCCCTCATTTATAGATGCAAGTGAATCTTGCCAGTCCCTTCAAGTTCAGACAAGATTTATGATATTAGTTCAACATGACTTAATTAGGAAGTGAACTGCAATTAGCATGTGGTATTAAATCCTCTCTCTCTCTCTCTCTCACACACACACAGACATCTTTGTGAAACCTAACCTCTATGCATGACAACCTTTATGGCACACATAAGATTTTAATTCTGGCATGCTCTCAAAAGGAATCAAACTCAAATTCTCAGGAAAGGCAAGAATTAACCTATTTGGGTTAATTCAGTTTCTTATTCATCAGCTTTTTTTTTTTTTTTTTTTTTTTTAATTTTATTTCTTAAATTCCTTTTCTTTTAGAAAGATTGCTCAGGATTCTCAATTTGTTTTATGTTTGTTCTTGCAGGACTTTCACTACTTGAATATGCAGGAGTGAAACCAATAGATCCAGCTTATGCTTTACCAGTTGACGTTGTAAACCGAATTTTCTTTACTAAATGAGGGCTTTAATTTCAACACTTTGTCTGGTAAAGACAAAACTCTGTCACACCTAAGAGCTAGATCGGTTTCCTTTTTGCAAACCGGGTGGTTGCAGGAATCTTTTGGAGATAGTACCGTCTGTATAAGGGATCAAGACACTAAATTTCTTCATTATGGGGCTTTAGTTAATCCTTTGAAATTTCATCACTTTGTGCATTAAAAATACTTGATGTGTAGATTTTCTCTTCCCAGCTTCATTTTTCAGCTACTTCTTTACCTAATATCTTCTCAAGTTGCCATTACCATTTTAAGCATTTTCTTCACTTTAGACATGGACTCTGTTTAAAAACAACGTGGATGATCCAAAAACATGCGCGGAAAGTGGGTTCTGCATGGCTGAACAATTTATTTGTAGGCTTCTTGGCGGGCAACGGCCTTGACTGGTTTCCGTAGTACGATGAAGAAGAACGAAAAGGTGATTAATATCCTTTATAGGATAATGCTGTATTATTAATCTAATACTACTTCCCGTTTTAATTATAAGAGCTAGTTGACTAATTTAAAGAGATTAAGAAAAAAAATTAAGTTAGTTATTTGTAACAAATAGGTGTTATTTTTACTAAAATATCTTTACTAATCAAGTGTATTGGTGAGAAAGAAGAATTATTTTAAAAAAAGTACATAAATATGAGAGATAAAATAGATTGGAGTATTATATTTAAAACTAAAATAAAAATCAAATAAGGTTTTATATTAAGGGCTGAAGGTAATATTAATGTAGTACTTGATATATGATCTGCTTGGATATAAACAATTTGATTTTAAAAATCCGCAAGTTAAGTTAATATGATAAACTTAGTATCCTTGGAATGAAATGCTCCATGATAACTTTGTCCCCTGCATATCTTTCAAAATTTAAACGCTTGAGCTTCCATTCTATGTTAATAGGAGTGCATTTTGGGAGTATTTGGGATTGTATAAAAATGCTTTTTAAAAGTATTTTTTTGCAAAACGAGACAAACTCCTCTATATATTTATTTCGTATACCATAAAAGTATTTTTAAAACTATGGTTTGGTTTCTATCTAAACACTTTTTTATGCCCGATAAAATAAATAAACATAGGGTTCTTATTCTAAGTTCTACCGTTCAAATTAATTTTGTATGATTCAGATTCAACTTAATTTTTTTTTTGCTTTAAATAGTTTTTCAATTAGATGCAAAATTTAAATTACATATAATTTTATAATTAATACTTCTTGAAAAATAAATTTATCTTGAAAATTGCGAACTAAAAATTTTAAATTTTGGTCCGTCTATATCATATTTTGGATAGTTCAGATTTTATAACGCATCCTGAGGAGTATCTAATGAATACCTCCCTAAAATATAATTTATGCTTGACACAATGTTACTACATTTTTTTAGGAAAAAGTACATACATGTCTCAAGTAACACAATTTATTGATCTAAGATCTCTTAAAATCTCAAAATAAATAGGAGGTTCTGTGCGACTTGAGAGTAATATATTTTAAATGAGAAATTACGTTATTGTTCTTGTTTTGATTGATAAGCTCATGGGTGTAGATTAATAAGTCAATGAGAAGCTATTGATAAGTCAGGAAGTATCAGTTGATAATATAATTTCTATATAAAATCAAATTGTTACAAAAAGTATTATATAACAATCTTTAAGCTGAAATCATATATGACCAAAGCATACACACTACTATTAGATGAAATGATGAGTTTATATAATAATTTTGTTGCGAACATCTGTTAACAAGTTTATGGGTACAGATTAACAAATTAATAAAAAGCTATTGACAAGTCAGAGAGTGTTAGTTAGCAATTAAATTTATGAGATAATATATAAATTTAATATAACCTCCACATAAATTATAACCAAAGAGTACAATAATTTTTCCTAATTTTATCTTACTAGAGGTTATATTATTTTATAAATTTACTTGTCAACCAATACTTCATGACTTGTCAATAAGTTCTTATTGACCTATTAATATATACTCATGGGCTTTGTAAATTGCTGTATGTAATAAAATCATGATAGAAATCTATTATTTCATCTAATATTAATTTCTATGCTTTGGTGACATATGATTTCAACTTAAGGATTGTTATATAATTAATGAACCAACTTCTTAATTAGTATATACTCTTCTGGTTCTAAATATAAGACCTATTTTGTATTATAATTTATATTATAAAATGAGTCTTATATTTTGGACTGCAGGAGGTACAACATGTATTTCCCATTTTTTCAATTATTTTCATCCATATGCACGCCTAATAAATCTAGACTCATACTATGGACAGAGTTGTAATTTTGTAGGCTTATGGGTGTAATCACACGGAAATCTGGCCCAAAAAAAAACCCAAAAAATTGATGCATCGGATCCTATTGCAGCAGTGCATGCATGTGAGTGAATATATAGTTATTTACTCTTTAGCCCCTACCTCTATTTATTTCCCAATTGGACCGTTGGCAAAACAAAACAAACTTCAATAGATGAACTTGGAGGAAATGGGGCTCGTTCACAGCGAATATATATATATATATATATATATATATATATATATATATATATATATATATATATATAGCACAAAGCATGTCGCAGGCTTTGGTCTGCCACCCCAACTTCAGTAGAGCTAGCAGGGAAGAAGAACTGGACGATACGTGACGAACGTGACCCTACCCTAAAGCCTTTACAACAAGCAAGCACGCTGCGACAATCCCACTTCATTCATTCCCACCAGGTGTGTTTTCCCTTTTTTCTTTCTCCTTCCTCCCCGTTTTTGTGATTTTTCATTTTTATCTCTGTTTTCTTTTTAAAATCTTTTATTTTTTCAAAAAGAAAAATATCTGGACGATCATTTTCGAACCCAAATGTCTCTCTTCTTCGCCTCTTCTACCTAATGCTAGATCTTGATTTTCTTCCATTTTCCATGGAATTTTTTGTCCCCGCTCTCTTGAAGAACGAGGCTGTCGTGGAAATGTGAATTCTACTTTGCGAAACCTTCGGGGTCTAGTTGAGAGGTGAAGGAATGGAAAATGCTATGCCGCTTGAATTGGCATTCGGGCGATTTGCGAGTTACAATGTTTGCATTGGCGTTGGATCGATGCCGGAAAGAGGCGATTTTTAGTTCTTAACTCTTAGCTTGGCCGGTACCTCCTTTTGGACTATGTTGGAGCGTTGGTTCCGTCATTATCAAGAAACGATTAGATAATTTGATGTCGTTGATTGCTGAAAATTTTATTTATAAATGAATCTGGCATGTGAAGTTCTGATTTTTTTCCCCCGTTTGATTAGGATACAAGGGGACAAAATGCCATCATTTGGTAATACCTAAGAAGAGGTAAGCTTTTGAACTTTAGCCAGAATGACTCGGTGATATCCGACATTTCCCCCTTTTTTTCGTCCTTTTATGTGTTCAAATGTATCAATATGGTATGGTGAGAATGTTTGTATTTCTTCTTTATCTTCATTTGAAATGAGGTTTTAGTAATCCTGGTTTGACTTTGGTTTGCAGGGCCTAAAAATGGCAGACACAAGCTCAGTTGGAATAATTTTGGACTTTCTAAGGAGGAATCGGTTCACGAAAGCTGAGGCAGCTCTTCTCAGTGAACTCAATAATCGTCATGACTTAAATGGCTTCCTTGAGAAGCTTAACCTGGAAGAAAAGGCCTTGCATAAGTCAGAAAAGGATAAGGGCAAATCTGTGGGAGACAATCAAGGACTGGATTCTCATGACAATGTTGAAGTTTCTGAGGAACTGATTGTGAAGGAAATAGAGTGTGGGAGTGGTGGAAATGCAACAGAAAGCAAAAATAAAAGTATTTCTTTTATTGGGGAATGGAAAAAAACTAATGAAGTGGTTGGGGCAAGTGACAAATACTTTGCTTTACCCAAGAATTCAGAGGATAAGATGCTTGATCTATACCCAAGGAAGTTAAATTCTGGCAATGGTCGTGTGGAGCCTCACCAAAATGGCGGTGGTAGTGCCAGTAATACTTCAAAGGCCATGGTTTTTCATCAAACAAGTGAAGTTCATGATATGGCCAACAATAATGCAAAATCTGCAGAGGGAAATGCTGTGACTACTGAGATACAGTTCTCATGGCCTGGAAGTAACAACAGATCCTCTGCGGAACATAGATATCATGGTGAGCAACCCAAAGAACCTAGTGAACATGATTGCCCACTGAAATCGAAGAACTCATCTTTTAAAGAGAACTTTGCAGATAATTTCTGGTCAAGAAAGGATGAGAATGAAATTTCATCTTCAGACCTGCAGAATGATTGTTCTGTCAAGGCTGCTTTTCCCCTCCCCAAGGGAGATATGTCTACAAGATATGATGGTGCGGCTTTCTCTAAAAGAATAGAGGGAAGAAGGACAGAAATAATTGGTGCCACGGAGGCAATGAAAATGCAGGTAGATGAAGTAGCAAGAGCTATTTATGCAGTTGATTTACAGGGAAATTCAGAACAGAAGACCATTGGCAGCTTAAATTTTCCTGTTGCACCTGAGAATCAAGAGGAGGAGTTACCAAGGCTTCCTCCTGTTAATCTCAAGTCAGAGGACAGGCTCTTGGCTGTTAATTGGGAGGAGAAATTTGAGCAGGATGAACCTGCTTCAAAAGTTGCCTTTGTTGACAACGATTCTCTCATAGGATCATATTTGGATGTTCCTGTTGGACAAGAAATTAACCTTGCAGGTTAGCTCATGGATAAATATTATCAATGGCACCAGTCAAATGCAGTATGTGAAGAAGAAGTGATGATAAATTTCTAGTATTATGATGTTTAATTGGATTGTGGTTTGAGAATATTGTCCTCTTTAAAATGTTCTTAAGTCAAACATCTTTATTGTCCTTAATGACAAATAAACTCCAATTTACCACATTTTTTACTATAAATGTAACCTTAATTTAATCAGCTGTATGAATTCACAACAGCACAAGCCTGAGAGCTGGTATGAATTCGTATTTATATCCTAAATCATAATGAATAATAATTTCTTCATCATATTCTGTATTACATACTATCACATTTCTTTGTACTTCAATCAGCTGTCTTTAATCGGTGTCTAAATTAGTAGTTGCATTTCTTGGCCGGTTGATAGGTTATTTTGTGTGCTTGACAAGATTTTGGCCTCCTCCTAGACTTGAGACACAGGTGTTATTATTAGTCCTTTCTGTTTATTTTTTTATCCTTCATTTTAATTTGTTGAATTATTTAAAATTCTCTTAATAAAAAAATTACAATACTTTGTACTTTTTATATACAAAATTTTTAAATGCTAGCTTTTATACAATTTAAAATTCTGTTAGTACAACTCAATTCATGAAGTGAACGAGGGCAATATAGTGGATGAAGGGAACTTGATTCCTAGAAAGCTATTAGCAAACATTGGTTCTTGGTTCTTGCCTTATTGTCCAATCTACAGTATAATAAAATAAAAAAATGGCAAACTATTTCCAAATAAAAATGATATGAAATACAGTGCAGCATTTTGACATGTTGTGCCTTCCGTCTTGAAATGATCTTGGGTCTGGTAAACTTTCTGAGCAAACTTAATTTAATTCTTGCTAAGAAGCAACTTTGGCACTGTGTTATGTTTAGTCCTTATTATTACATCAATTATACATGCTACATTATTTGGTTGATCTCTATGTTCTAAGGACTAGCTTTTACTTTCACACTTGCTTCAGGAATGAGGAGAGCTGCAGGGGACTGTTGGCTATCTATAAATCAAGGGATTACAGAGGATACATCGGATCTTGTGTCTGGTTTTGCCACGATTGGTGATGGATTGGGTGAATCTGTTGACTATTCTAATGAATATTGGGACTCTGATGAATATGAAGATGATGACGATGTTGGCTACATGAGACAACCTATTGAGGATGAGGCCTGGTTTTTGGCACACGAAATTGATTATCCGAGTGACAATGAAAAGGCAACTGGGCATGAAAGTGTTCCAGATACTCAGGACAGAGGTCCGGTCAAAGATGAAGATTATAATCAATTTTTTGGTGAAGATTCTTACTTCTCTGGAGAGCAGTATGTTCAACAAAAGAATGTTGAACCAGTCATAATGTCAGATGATTCAATTGGTTTGACGATAACTGAAATGTATGGAAGCACTAAAGAGAATGGATTAATGGTTCGGTATGATGGACAATCGATGGATGAAGAGCTGAATATAATGCCTGCAAAACCTGTCTGGCAGGGCTTTGTCCCTCAGACAAATGAATTGGTCCTGCTAGGAGATGGGCAGGCTCTGAATAACAGGGAAAGATCACAACTCGTGGATATATGCATTGATGATTATCAGCATGGTTCAGTTAGGTCAATTGGGGTGGGGATCAACAGTGATGCTGCGGACATTGGCAATGAAGTTCGTGAAAGTTTGGGTGGTGGTAGCAGGGAAGGGAATTTGGAATATCCCTGTGATTGTGATGTAGGACATGGTTGTTCCAGACACTCCCAGCATGATTTGGATAAAAAGTCTATTAATAAATTGAACAAAAATAAGCAGAAAAATGGCAAGAGTGAGGTAAGTAAGTATGTCACCGGGGATGATAAAGGTGCATTCTTGCAGATTAATGGTCATTCTGATGGAAGCTTCTCATATCCTCAATCACCAAAAGGTGGCCAGATAATCCAGGCTGGTTCCAGTAAGCCCCTATGGTCAGATAACAGCAATGCTGATGAACATGATGACTATCTTAATGCATATGTGAGATCTAATGACATGCTTACTTCTTGGGACCAGAAAAGCGGTGATTCTTCACCCATTAAAAGTTTAAGGAATGAGAATAATGCTAATGAAGTAAGATCAACTAACTCTTCTCCAACAGCAGTCTCAAATTATGGATATACTGAAAAAGCGCAGGTTATGTTAGAAGAAGATGAACAAGTTGACATTGCAGGGGAAGAAGATTTAGGGACATTGCTGGAGGATGAAGATGCTGCTGCTGTTCAAGAGCAATTAAAGCAAATAAAGGCTCAGGAAGAGGAGTTTGAAACCTTCAATTTAAAGATTATGCATAGGAAAAACAGGCACGTTTTCATATTTATGCTGATCTGAACTGTAGATTAGTAAGCATGGTTCAAAGTTCTTTTAAAGTCAAGATATAAAATACAAAATATAAAAAGTGTGGGGAACCACACTGTTTGTGGCTTTAAATTCCTAAATTTGCTTCATTTGTTAATTGTTAATTACGTTTTATCCTTTGTAACATAAACAAAAAAGAAGCAATGTACTGATGCAATATATAGAAAGGTTTGTCATGATATTTTCTTTAAAGATATTGTTGAAATAGTGAGATTCTCCCCTCCATTGGAAAGGTATGCACTGATATCTAATGGGTTTTTTGGTCATGTGTGAGAAGGTTTTGATGAAATTTGATATTTTCTTGTTTCTTTTCTTCTTCTATAATTTTTCTGGACCCTTGTTTTGTTTCTCAGAACTGGCTTTGAGGAGGACAAGAATTTCCATGTTGTTTTAAATTCTGTAATAGCTGGCCGCTATCATGTTACTGAGTATCTGGGATCTGCTGCGTTCAGCAAAGCCATACAAGCTCATGACTTGCATACAGGCATGGATGTTTGTGTTAAAATAATAAAGAACAACAAGGACTTCTTTGACCAAAGCCTTGACGAGATTAAGCTTCTCAAGTATGTCAATAAATATGATCCTGCAGACAAGTATCACATTCTTCGGTTGTATGATTATTTCTATTATCGAGTAAGTGATTGTTGAATACGCTAGTGATTTTTTTTTCGGGGGTATTATTAAGTCTTTACTTTCGGTTAATTGCTGTTTCTGGTGTGTGTTTATCTATTCTTTTTCCTATGTCCATCATTTGGATTCGGGGTACCGCTTTTGTTCATAGACTTGTTAGTAGTGTTATTTTCTTCAAAGCTAAAAGGTCTGATTTTTTTCTCTAGCACAAATCTTTTGCCATCTATGAGAAGTTTGGATTCCCTGCAATGGGGGATCCTACTGCATGATGTTCAGCAACTGTGGCAATGCTTTTTTTATGGACCAGAAAATTTAGTGGGAACTGGGAAAGATAAAAATTGTAATTATGAGGGCAATAATTGTAGCTATGAGAGAAGATTAAACTTTAAAAATATGAATTGCACAGTTCAGTTAAAGTTTTTATATATATGCATGATTTTATTATTTACTGATTCCCTTTATAATTGATAGGTTGACTTTTTCTTTGGTCAGCTGATTGACTACTCTCTTTTTCTTTTTCCTGTTATTCTGTAGGAACATCTGTTAATAGTGTGTGAACTACTTAAAGCCAACTTATATGAGTTTCATAAATATAATAGAGAATCAGGGGGCGAAGTATACTTCACAATGCCGAGATTGCAGGTTTGTGGTGTTCCATCTTCTTCATGAATCATGATGTCTTATTTTCATCTTATCTGCCATCACTGAAACTCTTCTAAATTTATTTGTGTAGTCAATTACAATTCAGTGTTTGGAAGCGCTTCAGTTTTTGCACAGCCTTGGACTAATACATTGTGACCTGAAGCCAGAGAATATTTTGGTGAAAAGCTATAGTAGATGTGAGGTGAAGGTCATTGATCTTGGGAGTAGTTGTTATGAGACTGATCACCTTTGCTCATACGTCCAGTCCAGGTCCTATCGTGCTCCTGAGGTTATATTGGGACTTCCATATGACAAGAAGATTGATATATGGTCACTTGGCTGCATTTTGGCAGAACTTTGCACTGGCAATGTAAGTATAATATATGGCCAAATAGCCAATGCACTTCAAAATGGCAGGGTTTAACCTTCTGTTTGAAATTTTTAATACCAACGATTTATCTGAAGCCGTCAAATTTTTCAACCAAGGGAAGCACCTGAGTCCTCAATAAAGGTCTAAAATGCCATCCACTCCCTCAGTTCCCAAGTCAGTTTTCCTGAGGTTAAGGTCACTAGTTAAGCCTTTCTAAGCAAGATTATTATTTTTACTTTATAATCATTCCTTGTAGAAACTTAAGTCTCTGTTAGTTAAACTTAGGTTAGCTAGCTCTGCACATTGCAATGACCTAACCCCATAGCCTTTGACCATGAATAGTGTTTTTAGCCTTGGGCTTTGTTAGTTTTCTTTGGTTAGTGATCTTCACGGTTGCGGAAAATGAACGTTGGTCCTTGAAAGATGTGATTGTGTTTAACAAGAATGACAGTAATGAAAGTTGGTGAGACTGTAGTTAAAGTTCTTTTTAGAATGTGGGACATCCATGGGTCAAATCATCATCATCATCTTTTACAGGGGCTAGGGTTCCTATTAAGGTCGTCTTCTCTTTTGTGTGATGATAAAATCAGGATAGTCTTTCTATGTTCTTGCAGTGGCTTGATGCTGACATTTGTTTGTTCAGGTCCTCTTTCAAAATGATTCACCTGCAACATTACTTGCTCGGGTGATTGGCATCATTGGTCTAATTGATCAAAGTATGCTCACCAAAGGAAGGGATACATATAAGTACTTCACCAAAAATCATATGCTTTACGAAAGGAATCAGGTTAGAATTGCATTTTCAGTTTACATTGTAAACAAAATGGACCGCCAGCAGTCTGTAAGCTTATCTTATTATTTTTTTCCTTTTCTTTTCTTTGTGTGTGTGTGTTTTTATTTTTTGTTTTTTTTTGTTTTGTTGATCCAAATGAATGCATCATGCATCATATACTAGACGTTTGGCATCTGGCCTGGACCAAGGGTCTTATTTCAATTGTTGGTTTTGCAAAAGGGATCCGCTGAATTCATAGAGTTTTAATGCAGGCTGCAATCATTTAATATTAACCATTAGATGCATCCAACTATCTGAAGCAGGACACATGACGATGGCCTTTGTATTGATAGAAAATTGATTGATTTCGTTATGCTTCTTCAGTCTCTCTCTCTCTCTCTCTCTAGTCTCCTTTGTTTCTCTTTCTAAAGCTAGTCCTCATTGCGAGTTCTAACTTCTCCCTATTCCTTTCATCCACATAATGATATTCTTTTATGAATAAAATTGCCCAGGTTCGTTATGGCCAAAAATCATATATATCTTAAGTTCTCTCTAAGTTCTTCAGCAGTCATTTCCTAAAGTTTTCCAACAAGCCAGCGTGTTTAATGAACAGTAACTGAGACTCTAACCCATCGAGGAAGCATGCTGTAGCTTTATGCCATTTATCTTTTAGAATGATTGTAAATCTAAAAGTCTTGACGCCATTCGCCAAAGTTTGCCAGAATTTTTAGAGGAGAGAGGGGGGGGGGGGGGGGGAATTGGTTGAGAGGAAAAAGGAAGGGAGACAGAAGGGACCAAATTTGTTGGTTTAGTTTTGTACTAATTTTTTGTTTGGTTAAAGTCATTGCCATCTGTCACGCTATGGAGAGTTAGATGCATCTAATGCTTTTTATCTGTTAGGTTTTTTCTTTTTTATATATTCTCTGAGGAAACCCGTGAGAATACCCTTTCTGACAAGCCCGTTGGCATCACCGCCTGAGTGGAAAATGACAAAAGATACACATTCAACTGATCTGTGTGAATTTGAGGAACTTAAATACACTAAACATAAGCACGGATGCTGTTATGCACATTTATCATATCCCACTTGCTGCCAACTATGTAACAACTCTATATAATATAAAAAAAAAAAAAAAAGGAAGGAAAAAACAAACTACTTAACTGTTTTTTTATAATGTATAACATGATTTTCTGAGTGTAGTGAAATGAAAACCCAGAATTTCCTAACCAGACGATTGTTCACTAGGCCTGGGTCGAAACAACAGGAAACATACGTACAATTGAACTAATTGATCATCAAAAAATAATCATTAATTATTGTTAATCCAAGTACAGGGTTGCTGTAGTGCACCTACATTTGATGCCTCAATTATTCATGGACCATGCCTATGTAATCGGACTTTTATTTTAAATAATAAGAGTCTGAACTTCCTACCAACACGAGTTCACGAAGGTTTGAGTGGCAGATTTGCCACCTGTCTAACTTATAATTTATGTTGAGTGGTTCAATATCTGCGGTGAAGAAATTGAACTGGTGAGACATCCACAAATTTGGTTTTTGATTACGGGCGCATGAGGGAATAGAAGAATAGGTACTTCAGTAGTCAATGCCATTGCTCGGCATCTTACTGATTATCGGATAATTGTCTGAAATTCCATTGAGGAATAGCAGGCCATATAATAGAGAATCACCTTAGTGGATCCTCTTAAGGATGCCTGATCTTTTCAAAATGTTTTTTTTAGTAAGATTTTATTAATATGATCGCCAAATAAGAACTATTCTGAGCACCTTAGCCCATGATATCTGAAATTGAGAGTATTTTGTTCTCATTTGTAATCCTCAGAGGGGGCAGTGAAAGGTGAGCTGGCTAAAATTACTAAAACATAAAACTGGGTATTTTGTGTATAGTTGTCTCGCTTAGTTTCACAAGGAAATCGAGGAATAATGTGACCATTGATTTTGAAGTTCATCCTTTCAATATTTTAGTCCCTCCAATGTCATTTTGTAACTGACAATTGTTTCATTTTTATAAATTTATTTAAATTTTATTACATGTTTCAATTTTATTGTACTTGAGATTATTATACAGTGAAGTTACTGTCTTGTACAGGAAACCAACAGGTTAGAATACTTGATTCCCAAGAAGACATCTTTGAGGCACAGATTGCCAATGGGAGACCAAGGCTTCGTTGACTTTGTTGCTTATTTGCTTGAGGTTGAGCCAAAGAAGCGGCCTTCTGCTACAGAGGCCCTTAAGCATCCATGGTTATCATACCCATACGAACCCGTATCATCTTGATGCATTTGAAGTTCTTTCTGCCTATTTGAATATAACACTGTCATTTACCTGTGTAAATTAGATTTGGTTTCTCATTGAAGGAAGGCTCACTACCTTGCCTATATACCCCGGCTGCTTTTTCATGATCTATTTTAGAGATGATATGGAAAGGAGCAGTTCTACACTCCTACATGATGACATCAAAGGCATGTTTAGTTCTATGAGTAGTCTTTCCTTGTCCTTACTAACATGAACTCCAAACTACCACGATTTAGGCCATAATTTTATACGGTTCATGTCCTGTTAGGGTTTTTGTTTGTTTCGCTGGTTCTGCCAAAAGCGATAACCTGAATCATCTTCTCCACAATGTGAGATTATTCTTTTAGGGTATTGATTGAGTAATATGTTGTGGAATGTGGAACATTCATCCCTTTTTCCAATTGGACGTGTGACAACCATTTGCTGCACCCATCAAGACTGAACTAGAGCCGGTGACTGTCACTGGCGGCTGAACCGGATTTCTTTTTTAGTGGGGAGCAACCTGATTGTATTTTGATGGAGTGAAGGAAGCTTCCTTTGGTTTACTTAAGGCATACTGGGGATTGGGTAACAGTCTGGCAAACGGATTCTACTGGCAGGGTGGACTAAGGAAAGCAATTTCCCCAATGGGTAGTATTTGAAGTTGTTGCTGGCTTGAGCTCTGTTCCCAGATCCTACTTTTTCTAAGACTTAGTTAATTGTTCTTTAACATTATATATCATGTAAATATTTTGTCGTTTATCTAAATATTTTTATCATGGCTCTTCGACTGGTTGTTATGAAATTATGCTTGCTTTGTTTAACTTGAAATTGAAGCAAGCTGATATTATGATAACTCGAGATACCTTTGTGTGATGATAAGAA